AGCTACGGGTAAATCATATTCAGTTGTTCCAAGACTTACAAATTGTTCCAAGACTTACGGACTCTTTAGAACCTGAAATCATGAACTGTAGTGTTGCCTCGTGCTGTCATTTGCCACTGCAAAAAGAGTCAGATAAACCATTCAAACACTTGCGCTTTGCGATTGAAGAGTAGCGTGAGTGCCTTGTTGAATAGATCATTGAAATAACTTTGAAACTCAGATATTTGTGTTATGGAACACTAACTGTACCTGAAATATTTACTAGCTTTTAGAATAAATGCATTTTCCTCTTACGTGGGATCTTGATTCTATTTTGTTTATTGATGGTGAATTGTCTCTGGTTTTGTAGGCTTGTGCTGACCTCGCTTAGGCACCTAGTGCCTTTGCCGTGAAAGCAATGTTGGTGCCAGTGAATGTTGAAGCATCTTCAATGCATATTGGACATGCATTGGATGACATAATTTTCTGTCATAGTAAGTGTGCAGCGGATAGGGATATGATGCTGTGTAAGTGGTGTTTTGCAGAGTGGAGGTTGGACAGTTGTTTCAGCTACATAGCTTTAGAAGTAGAGGAAACTATTACTGCTGATTTGAAGTTCTAGAGTCAGAAGCCTAATTCTGGACTGTGGAAATAATGTCACTCCTGCTGCAGGAAGACCTGCAGAACCTTTTGCTCCCTGCTTCATTGGATTGCTACTGCGGTTTATTGGAGTGGTGATTCCATGGATGTTCCCTGCCTTCTGCTGCTTTTGTTAAGAACAAGTACTTAGCCTGTAGTGTTAGTGATCTTCTTTCAGTAAGTGACACAGTATGCATTCTGTTGCTTGTCTTTTTTCTACTAAACTTTTAAACTCTCCTGTTGCACAGTTCTTAAGGAGATCAGTGTTTCATATGCTGTGATTTAGAAAAGGTAATCTATGGATAGGCTTCAGTCAGTTATGGTTCAAAGTGGCGTTTGCAGCATAAATTCTTCCTTAACAGAGATCTTAACTAAGCAAAACACAACTCTAATTTATGAACTTATCAGCTTGAAAAACAACAAAACAACTATTTTTAATGCGTTGTCTGATCCAGTGCCTTGGTATATTGCAGCACCGTTGCTGCAAAGAGCTACATGTGAAATTTCAAATGTGGTTCTTCCTTAGGTCGTACAGAAGGCTAACTATAAAAAAAGTTGAGGAACTGAAGAAACGAATGAGGAACTGGAGTTTTAGGTTGATCTTTTCACCCCATCCTGTTGAAGAAAACTTGCTGCTGCATGTGTTGTATTGGGTCTGAACTTTTGGTGCAAAATTAAGGAGTCTTCTGTCGTTCAGCAAGGTATCAAGAGATTAGTTACTGGATTTTGGCAGTGTTCTGCTCAGGCTTCACTAAATAACTTCACAGCAGAACCTTCATGGTGGTCTTAAGAATTGATCACTTTATTTATTTGTTTCTTGAGTTGTGATAAATTTGATATTACCACCGTTAGCAAGCCCTTGACCTGAAGAGTTGTCAGAAAGCTGTTGGCAGTAGTAAGGTCATCTTCTACACCAAGTAATTGTAAAAAATAATCAAGCTAAGAATGGGCAGCATACTGAAGAAGGTGGGCTGGAGTGTCTTTTCTTTTCTGCCTGCTGCAAATGGGAAGGGCTATCTTTGTGGGGAGGTGATAAAAGGTGTGGATGAGGCACTGTAGAAGGAAAGTACATTGACAGGAAAAAGGCTTATGAGAGGCTAAGGAATGGAGGAAGAAAGAAAAGATGAATAAACAAGTCTGTGTGTTGGGGGGATGTGGCTGAAGAAGCTGGAAGGTGAGAGTAAAGTTAGCCAGTAAAATTTTATCAGGCTTTACTCACATGTGTAAGTAGTATCCAGTAGAGCAATGCATGGAGATATGCATGGATATATATTCACACTAAGTGCCTGAGAGCTGCTGATAAAATACGGGAGGTGGTTAACGCTGCAGAAGTTGCAAACCGGTGCCCTCTAGGAGATCTGAGTGACCAAGTAATGCCGTGCTTGCTGAGCCATGCGCATAGCAGTCGCTGCAGGGCTGCTTGACTCAGTATGTCTGAAAGCATTTACTGGCCAGCATTGAGGGGAAAAGGAAAGGCGTTTGTTCCATGCAGTTGCTCTGGTTTTGTTTGTTTTATCACAGCTGTGACAGGGGTTTTTCAGAAAAATGAGCAAGTCAAAAGATAAGTAATTACCTTGATGCTTATTTATCTCAAAGCATTTTTAATCTGTTTATTGTTATGGTTCATAGCTGCGTCGTAAGAGTATGCACTCTCCATCAAAGTATAGCCAGCTACCTTATGAAGAATTAAAACAATAGTGTACCATTGAAGACATGAAACCTGTATTTCTGATTAAAAACATCCTCATTCAGAATGCCATTGTTTTGAATAGAATTTGACTAGTTCACACCTTTCACAGAAATGAAAGAGGTGTTCAGAATTTGCACTGACAGTTATTCAGAAGCTTGAATGTCTCTTGTAAGAGAATGCATCACCAGTAGCATTGGTGCCACAAAGCTAGGTCAGGACTTCAGTTGAACTGTTCTCTGCCACAACCTGATTTCCACTCTTGCGTATGATGTGCAGTCTTATTTAACCTGTGAGATGCTGTGGGTGTAAGGCAAAAGATGAATTATCTTGCATAGCTTCGTAGTAATACAATTATCAATTATGTAATGTAGAATAAATATTTTCTTCAGATGGTTTTTCAAATTACTTTCTTCCAACTGTATTCTGCAGTGCTGGTTTTGCATGTTCCAATAAGGATATATTTCATATTTCTTTTTACTGAGAAGTATGCTGCAGCTTGATGTTACCGTGTGAATTGTGTGGCTCTAGTTATTTTCTGTGCATTTCTTTTTGTCCCTTGTAGGTGTATCCAGATGAGTCTTATCTCAGGTTTGTCTCCTCAGATGGTGGTGATGGCTGTACTAGTTTTCCCTTCAGAATAATTTACTAAATTGTAAAGATGCTTTTCAAGACATTTATACTTTATTAAGCTGTCGATTGACACACTTGATCTGCACTGGTTTGTGTTGTCTTGTTTTTGACGTGATTTGCATCTTCTCTTGATGAATTAAACTAGTATTTGCTAATGTGGACAACCTGACAGTTAGAGCTGCCTGGGGCAGTTCTTGGCTGTACTGGCTAGCATACGGATGGTACTAATTTCCGGAGGGATTTTGAAATTCATGAACTGTTTGGAATTTGAATTCTGGATGCTATGTCTAAATGTCTGGAAGACAGTAGCAGCACTTTCTTGCATCAGTTCTGGAATAAACTCAGTTGAGATACAGCAAGAAAGATTTTGTTTTGTTTTGAAGTAAGAATTCCCTTATCATTCTTTGAGGTTTTTAAGCTATTAAGGGCTGCCTCGGACATCCCTTGCCAAAAAAATTGCTGAAGTATTTGCTGAGGAAATAGTACTGCATGCATGTTTTTTTGTGGGTTTTTTGTGTTTCTTTGTCGTGTTTTCTCAAAGCTTCTGTGTTGGATGCTTGTTTTTCTTATGTGGGGCTTTTAGGGGTAAGAGTGAGGGGATATCTTCTGGAGGCATTGTGACATTGGAGGAGCGTGGGGAATGGCTTGTGTAAGGCTTCCTCGTCTGTGTCTCAGCTCCAAAGATCTGTTTGATCTAATGTGGTACCACCATTCCTGTACCATAGATAATGCAATGTATTGATGAGGTAATACCGCGACAGCAAAGCTCTTAAAACAGTTGCCAGAAGATCTGCTGCAAAGCCTTAGAAAGCAAGGGCTTAGAATTAGGTCAATAGCAAAGCTCCAGTGGAACTGTAATAAACATAGCTGGCTCTCACTGAGAGTGAAGTTTTCCAGTTGTTACCTTATCTTGCAATTGTGCAAGTCTGTCTTGCTTTGTATTTTTAAGTGTGTGTTCTTTGGTCTTTTGTCTTGAAACCTCACATCCTGTTTTAATTTGTCTTTTTTTTACTGTTTATAATTGCCAGGCCCAAGTAATTTTTCTTCTGTTCCGTATGCTCACCCATTTCTCTCCATCCATTAAATTTAATTTTAATTTTAATCTTTACCTTTGCAATTCCTGCACCAGCATGATGCAGGATCGCTTCAGGAGCAAAGGATCAACACAATCACATCAGGAAGTGCATTTTGTGCCTCGGAGTCATGCTTCCCCAGTGTCAGTTTTCTGTCTGAAACATGATTTCTGTTCTGCCTCTCAGCTGAGGCAGATATTTTAGATATCTTTGGAGCAAAGTTTACATCTCTTTCCATGTGCAAACATCTAAATACTAATTTATGGTTTGTTTCTTTGTTCTCTAATTTCTAGCCCTGGCTTCCTGAAGCTGTGCTTGGAAAACTTCTAAGATGCTTACATTGGTGCCGCAAATGGTACCACTGCGATGATGATGATGTTCAATGTTGCTTTAGTGCTGTGTAACGGTAGCCCTATTAGCATATGTGTATAATTGCCTATGCTGATTGCTGGTACCATAGTAACTACAGTAAAAATACGTGAGATGGAAGTCTGAGCATACTGTGTGAATGTAGAAGTTGGGCAAGCATTCTGGTAAAGGTAGAGATCGGGGTGATCAAAGGGGAGATTTGGGAATACCACCCATGCAGAAGAAATGGCTGTGCACATGAGGCTGGTTTATATTCTGCTTTCTAAATAACAGATATGTTCTACATAAATGCTTACAAAGTGTCTGCATGCATATTGCTGATTCCCTTGTATTGCTCAGTTGTTCACTGCATCTGTTCAATTCCTCTGAATTACCAGTCATAAATGGGGAGGAAGGGGATTCCTAGTGAGAAGGAAGCAGATGGGTTTTAACTAAAGCCAAAATGAGACTTTATTTTTTTTGTGGTGAAACTTATGTAAAATCAATGTACCAAGGACAACTGAGCATCCCTGAAAAATTCAGAAATGCATAAATCTGAAATTCAGATGGGAGTTTAGTTTTGTATTTATATTTGTATTTGGTTTTGGTTTTTAATCTTGAGTATTTTTGTCATTTTAAAGCTTTCCTGCAGTTGGAGAAAAAAGAACAAAACCTAACCATAGATCAGCCATCTAAAGGAACAAGGAAAAATTATTCTTTCACAAATGAAGAAGTAAGACAGATTGATCAGGAGAACCAGAGGTTGCTAAAAGAACTGTCCAGACAGTCTGCAAAGCCAAGAAGTACCACCACATTGAAGAAGTCAGCTGTACCTCCTAGATTGTACCACAGTGCCCTCAACAGGCAAAAGGAGCAGCAAAGAATTGAAAGGGAAAACCTGGTAAGTTTTGAGAACTGATGTGGATCAATAAATTGAGAAGGACTGTTTGTTGTCAGATGACCTACTGCTAAATACTTGAAAAACTGATGAGGCAGCACTTGGAGCTGTACTGCAGTAAGTCTGCAATGAATTTCCTCTATGCTGTTTGCATAATTGTTCATATGGTTTTGGGGGGGGCAAAAATGCTGCTTTTTTCAGATGAAAATAGCCAACTCACATAAAGTAAAACCTCTCCTTTGATATCATTCAGTTTAAGAGGAGCAACCATTGTTGTTGACACGCTCATAACTTTTAGAGAGCAATCTAACTGTTCATCCTGCTTCATGCATCATGATTACTAGTCTCTCAAGAACAGGGTTGCAAAAAATAAAGCAATCAATATGATAGCATCAACCCCATTATATTTGAAATATGGAGAATACAATGTGAATGTCAGTTTAGTTTTTTGACTCATTCTATGGCTGTCTCTTTCAATATTTGTAGTGCTCTGCTTGTCACAGTGTTTGAATGTAACGGCAATCACAATATCTTACTTTACTGGAAAACAGAAATTCAGGCTCATTTATAGGGATAGTGGCAGAGTTGTTAAATAAAGAAAATGCTGATTTGAATAATACTGGTTTAGTGGCTGAATTGTAATACATATAATGATATTTTTGTGTCTCCTAGTTGTTCATTAGTGTGTTTGAAAAGGAGATAAAACATAGTTAAAATATTTGGAAAACTTATAGTGGAAGTAATTTATTCACTTTTTTTCATCTGTGTAAGTGTAGGTTGCAATTTCCTTTTATAGAGATAGAGATTCAACATGGAGAAAGTCTGATTGACCTGTTCTCATGGTTTAACCTCAGCTGGCAACTACGCACCACACAGCCACGCTCTCACTCTCCCTCCTCCCCCCCAGTGGAATCAGGGGAAGAGAATTAGAAGGGTAAAAGTGAGAAAACGCATGGGGTGAGATAAGAACAGTTTAATAATTGAAGTAACATAAAATAGTAGTCATAATGATAATAAATTGTAATGAAAAGGAAAATAACAGAAATAAAACCCAAAGAAAGACAAGTGATGCAAATCAAAACAGTTGCTCACCGCCAACCGACTGATGCCCAGCCAGTCCCCAAGCAGTGGCCCCCTTGCCAACCTTCCCCCCAGTTTTATTGCTGAGCGTGACATCATACGGTATGGAAGATCCCTTTGGTCAGTTGGGCTCAGCTGTCCCGGCTGTGTCCCCTCCCAACTGCTTGTGTACCCCCAGCCCACTCGCTGGGGGGGCCATGTGAGGAGCAGAACAGACCTTTACTCTGTGTAAGCACTGCTCAGCAGTGACTAAAGATCCCTGTGTTACCAACGCTGTGTTCACCACAAATCCAAACCATAGCCCCACACTAGCTGCTATGAAGAAAAGCCAAAACCAGCACACCTATTCAGGAAAATCTGTTAGGTTTTGGTTCTTCTCGCCTTCAGGCATCGAGATTGTTAAAACTTTTCAAAGTAGGAAACTTTCTCCCCAGCTTCACTAGACTACGGTTGACCAAAAGAAAGTTATACTTCACACTCTGAAAGAATTTGGCATAAATACTTGTTGTAGATGTGTGATACTTCCCATTGTCTGGGGAAGAAATGTTTTCAGACTTTGGTGTTTTTAGCTTAGTAGGAGGGCTTTCTTCACGTGTTGTGGGGTTGGGGTTTTTTTGTGGTTTTTGTTCATTGAAAACATTGAAAGCAGGACTTGCTCTTCTGCATGAACCTTGATAAGAGTGTATTCTTAGGCCATGGGGAGGAAGTGCTGTGTCACAGTCACGTTCTAATAGTAATAACGCTGTGCTACGTAACAACAGATGATTACCGTAATACTAATGTGTATCATGTTTTACAAAACACTTCTGTTTACTCAAAGCCACAAACCTTTTCTCTTTTGTTATATTGCAATATTTTGGCCAAGAATGTCTTGCCTTTGCAACTTTTGGATCAAAAATTCAGCGAACCTGAACACACATAGTCATTTCACGTGTTGCTGGTTTAGTATACGTTAGAGATTAATGGTGGTTGCTTGTAGCCCAAGATATAATATCCTTTATTTACTTACTCATTTATGCTTTAGTTGTCATCAGCAACATGAGTGGACATGTCCGACATCAGAATCATTCCTTAGAATTTATGTTAGGACATCATGCTATTTCAGACTATGACAACACTTGGTTTATTGTTTTCCGCAAACTCAGGATGATATATTCTGCTCCTCTTGTCAGAAGAGTGATTCATCAGTACAGCTCTTAAGTTTTGTTTAACATTGCTACCATTTTTGAGCAATTCTGTTTACTTTTTTTATTCTGTTTGAAGTGTATGTGCACCTAGAGCATCACAATTGTAACACTGATTTTTCTAGCACTACTTTTTGGGATTACAAGTATGACATGCTTTTCTCAGGAGACTGTAAATGAAAGAGCTGCCCTACTCTGCCCACTGATATGGTTTTTTTTGCTTTGTAGAACTAAAAGTATGTGCTTTATGAACTTGTGTTCTTCTGGTGAGCAGCTTTCTTCACGTTTGTAGATTGAAGAGCTGGAATTCCATGGAACATCCTTACCAATCTTTCTTCTATTACTTGCCAGGATTTTTTTTTCTTATACAAGGCCTGAGGTAGTGCATATGGGATTTGCTGCTTGATACACCTTTGTGAAATGTTTGTTGGAGAAGAATGCAGGGTTTTGTAAATAATTCAAGAATAGAAATCTACAACAGTAGTCTGTGCAGGGGGTCAAAGAGTTTTGATGCAGAGATTTCCCCCCCCCCTCCCCGCTGGATTACAGCTTTTATAATTTCTTTTCCTGAGTTTAATGCCTTGTCTAGGGAAAAGTTTCACTGGTTCCACTAGAACCTTCTTGGACTAATGCCTATATTTACTGTTATCCGAAAGAAAGCTTGATTTCTGGTGCAGGCATTTGGCATCAGAGGTGATGGAGGGAAAGTAATTCAAATATTCGGAAATTAGAGAGGCATCTAAATGGTTTGGTGCTCTCTAGCTGGTGAAAGGGTGCGAGGGGGTACGGGGAATATATGTTGCTCCCGTAGACTCTGCTAGAAAGAGCTATGATGGAACACAAAAGTGAATTGCTCTGAAGAACAGTAGTTGTAAGGTAGTGATTAGCACTGTATGGAAAAGGCACAATTAGCAAAATAGATTGCTGTTGAAATCGGCGTTAGAGTTTTGCTGCTTTTGACTGTGTGCTTTTGTAAGTGGAACCTGCTTTTAATTGCTTTTCTGAGCTAGCAGGACCAGAGTGTGTCTCTTGCCGATAGAGGCTGCTGCTGATTCAGAAAACATTCTACTCTTGTGTCTGAAGATACTCCCGACCTCCTCTCCTCTCCAGTGTGAAGGGACAGAAGTGTGACTGATGTGTTCCTTTTTTACCATGTCTGCATATATGTGTCTCTATCTGTATTAACATATTAATCATTATTTCTGCCAGTATAAATAAGATACTCAACTTCATAGACTGGACACTACACACCATTTAAACATTGAATGGTTTATTATGTGATGCAAAAATCTATACTGGTATATACAGGTAAGTATTTGGGGACCTTAAAATACAGATTTGCAGCCACCACACACTTCTTCAGTCACTTCATCTAAACTTAGAAGTAATTTATATCCGTATGTTGTTTTTTGCTGGTTTTTTTTCATCATTAATTCTGACTAGAATTTAGGTGTTACATGATGTTAGTGAGCTAAGCTGCTGTGTTCAGCCAAGTTCCTAGGGAACAAGTGACACACTGGAAGTTCACAGGAAGATCTTGGCTGGTCTGGGACAGCACTTCTCAAACCTTAGATCAAGGGGAATGAGGGTATTCTCCTTTTCCGTGGATATTTGGTCTTTCCACGTGTCCCTGTGTGTTTTTCCTAACCTGTGCTGTTATGACTCACTGCACATAACACTCCATGTTGTTCATTCCCCTACCTCATACTCCCCCAAAATGTATGCTAAGCTCCAACAGATCCAGCTCTGATCCCAGTTCCAGTACAGTCACCCTCCTACATAAATTAAAAAAAAAAAAAAAAAAATCACTTGCTGTCATTCTCTGCAAGGGTTGTCTTTCTCTTTATACCTACTTGGTTCCCCAAGTCATCTGTGCTGCAGACGTCATTAATGCTTCTGCCCACCACTTGCTCTAGTCATTGCAGCCTCTACCAGCACAGAGATCCTTCAGCCAAGCTGTTTCCCTTCTCTTGCAGTCTGGGATGCCTTTGTCTTGCTGGAAAACCTGAGCCTTCTTTAGAAATGCAAGCGCTGTACTGCTAGAAGTGAATGTATGTTATTTGTCTCCGCTTGATTTTATGGTGCTGGTGGGCTGTGGTGGTTGGGTGGGGAGACGAGGACAAGGGAGTGATAGTGCCTCTGTTCATGCCCCTAACTGGCTGCCACCACGTACGAACAATATAGCTCATCTTGAGCCACAGCCTTCGGCTCTGTGCTGCACTGCACCTGCCTTGCCATCCTTGTTGAGCCACAACCAGGGAGAAAACTTCCAGGCATGGAAAGAAGCAGGAAGGTGAGGGCAGTGGTCCATCAGATTTGTGCCTGGCTGCCTTGTGCTTTCCTCCCTGGATATATTACGCACTGCTTTTTCTCTGCCTTCCCTTTGTCCGGTCCCCAAGGACCACCCCTGAGTCTGAGAGCATCAGGCCTCGGATGCTGCGTACTTACGTGGTTGTAGAAAGAATACCAAGGTTGTTCAGCCTTAGGCGTCTCAGTCTGGAGGAGAAAGCTGTAGAGAATGCAGTTGTGGAAGAGAATGTCGCCTTCTGGGTCTTCTTAGGAGCTCAGAAATATTTGTGCTGGGTTGGTGGCTCCTTAAACTCAAGCACACAGGATTTTCACTTAATAGTTTCAAAGCCATTTTATGCCAAGACTAAAGTCAAAATGTTGGTAGTTCCCGAGATTACAAAGTGCAATGCAAAAAAAAAAAAAAAAAACAAACAAAAAAAACCAAAAGAAAACAAACCCAAAACCAATGTTTCCATGGCCCTGTCGTCAAGGGAAGCTATCAGGATGTGGGATTGGCATGCAGATGTGCCTGGCTAAAATATACTGCAGCACGGTGCAAATACAGTGCAGTTCTGTGTTTACAGTATTTCGGCTATAGGTGCTTCGTGGTCAGATTTTTTTGTGGTCTGCTGATTCCTGACCCAGACTTGAGATTCCTGGACACTGCTGTGCTAATTGTAATGAAGACTGACTGATTTGGTTGTTTTGCACACTGCTCAATTTTGTGGGATTCGGGGGTTTTTTTTTTTTTTTTGGTACTCTTAGCCTAGTTTTTTTGTGGTGATGCCAGCCACGTGTAAACTTGATAGAGGTTTTTGACATGTAGAGTTTGGCAGGTTAAAGCTAATTAATGCAACTGGTAATTGAAGAAAATTACAAATACTTGTATCAGTAAGAACAGAAACATGTCCTTGAATGCACTCTTCTCTACACCCTCCCCCCAGACTCTGCAAGGGGACAGTGTGGTCACTAACATCAGTGACATTAGAGGAGGCATAATATAAATAAATTTGAACAGCTGTCAAGGCACACTAGTCAGCTGACGGGAATTCAGAGGAGGTGAAACTGAAGCCTTCATGCATTTAAAAAGCAAAGTAAAACAATAAAAAGTAACAGGTTTTTTACCTTCTTTCTGAACTCAATGTAGCAGTGCTGCATTTTCAGTGTTTTTTCTTTCTTTTTTCAACCTAGCTGCAGAAAAGTGGGTACTGATTTTTTTTTTTCTTTTGCTGATGGAGAGCATTAGAATTAACTTCAGTGCTCTCCTGATATGCCCAAAGTTGAATTAGCAGCATTTATCTTGGCTTACTGTTTAGCAGCAATCTTTAGATACAGGGCTCCTTTGTTCTCCAGTTGTTGGCAATCTGACATTTCCTTCTGTCATTGACAATATGTATTTTAGTGTCTTTATAGATACTGGTCTATGTCCAGATGCCTGGATTTGCAAAGGATTATGCTATTCCTAGAAGGTAATCATGCAGGAACACCTTCTGTGATTTTTTTTTTCTTTTTTTTAAATACTGTTATTCTACTTATATTGTGAACTCGGTATTATAATAAAGTAAAAGAAGATGGGGGAATAGAAGCATTGAGAGGTCATCAATGATACGATATTGAATGGAGCTCTGAGGAGCTACAGTGCAATTTAGAGCAACTAATGACATTCCTGTAATTAGTGTCTGCTACTCTTTTTTTTTTAATTCCTTAAATCTGGTTGGGAACATATACTTGGTTCTGAACACCCGGGTTATGTTATGTGATCATAATGTGGTCATTAAGATCAGTGATGAAATTTCTGTTTACTTTATTGATGCAGGATTAAGGCTCCAGAGATTTAGCACTTGAAAAAAACAAGGAAAGTGGCAGTGTTCTTTAGTCCATTTCTCAAAAGGAGAACATAATTAAAGAATTAATAGATTTTTATATATATATATATAAAAAATTGCAAAAGAATATTTGTTCAAGGTACTTGTGCCATTGTACAGCCTCCTTGGTTGAGGACCTCAAGATTGTAGGGTTGGTAATCAAACCACAAGAATCGGATTAGTTCCGGGTTACAGATGAGGAGGTCAGGGCTGCCATTTCAGGGTGGTGATGAGTTCACTTCTGTATGCAGCAGGCTGTTCTCCAAACCGCAAAATTCACGACCGCAGATAGCACGTAAGTTAACATGCCCTTGTTACAATTTGCAGCAGACAGCAAGGGAACCACGGGAGCTGTTCCCTCATTCTCTAGAAGAGCTTTTCTGAGAACACTTCTGCACCACAGAATCTGTATCTGCTCTTTCCGTAGCTCAGGGCTGTATCGAGTCCAGTGCTAACCTGTTCAAAAAGTAATGTTTTAGTCCTGAGAGAGGTCTTTTTTTGCTTTAGTAATGGGGACTTGATACTTGTCAAAATACAGGCATAAGAGCAAAAGCAGAGAATTTTACTTAAACTAGAAGAAAGCAGGCATATGTAAATAATGTATGTTCAGAATCAAGCTTGAAATTGCTGCAGTGATAAGATACGCAAATTCTATGGGTGCAGACTTGAAACATGCTCGACTCTCATAGAAGTCACTTCTACAGTTTACCCCCATTTATGATTGATCTGAATGTATTGAGAGCTTCCATTTTTAATAGTGAAGGTAAATAAGTGATCTCTGCAAATCTAAATGTATGTCGTTGTGTTAGGAGATGCGGATGAAGTTGTGAGTAAAATCTTGGATGTAACATTTCGAGACAAGTCTACCATTTCATGTCCTGCAGCTGGCTTTAGAGAAGAGCTATTTCTAGCTGAAGTCTTTCCTTTGACTTTTGCTTGCTTAGGTATTTCCACTTGACGATGAACTGACTGGCACTTGATGCAAGCACTTGTGACATATTATGTCTGAGCCGAAATCACTTGTCCTTTCTCCCTTGTTCACTCTGTGCAGGTTTCCAGTGCGCATGCATGAACTACCAAGACTTTTTAGATTCCTATTACAGCTAGATAATGGCAGCTGACATCCTGTGAATACTATACTATTTCCTAAGTCTATAAATTTTGATATTCTTAAAAAATCAGTACCTGATTGGGAGTGGGGAAGAATGATTGTTTCATACAAAATGCAGTTTAATGGTTATACTGACAGATGATTGACTTCTACCGTATAAATATATATCTATACATCGTTATTAACAGAGGTATTTTTAGTACTTTGGAGACTCGTGTAATCACAGTTTGCGTTGTCTCTCATTGATAAGACGCATGTCATAACCATGACCAGCAATGGTTTTGTCATTGCCCAATGTTTGTAGGCTATCAAATGAACTGAAATTAGTTAGCAGAGAGAACGTATAGATCTATGCAAGGCAAGCACTGGAGGTGAAATATATTAAAAATGTGAGGTTGTTAACTGGAAGTTGTCTGTAGCTGCGTACTTCCAAATTTGTCCTGCTGTCAGGTTCTTTTTTTAGATTATGGAAATTTCTTAATCCTGTTTCAAGTAGAAGTAGTTATGCAGAATGGGAACCTGTTTGTGTCTGACAAATACTATGTAAATAGCTGTTCTAATTTAATGCTTGCTGCATGATTGGCAAAGTTAATGTCAACAAGAGGAAGTGATGTCTATAACAATTTCAAGTAGAATCTCTTAAAAATATATTATGGATAAAACAAATGGTGTCCAGTGGATGTTTGTGCTTTCCTTTGGATATTACTTTCACAGAATTGAGGTCAGTAATTCTTTCTAGGGATCCTGTAGGGCCATATAAAGTGGTCTGTTTTCAAAGCAGAAATTAAAAAAAGCAACTTCTTATCCTTCTAGAAATTTAGGAGAGAGGAGTAACCAGAGGTAGGATTAGAAGAGTGCAGCCTGTCTTCCCACCGCCTTTACTATTGCCAAACAGATTTGTTGTTTTAAGTTATCATGAAGTACATACAAAAGATGTACTCAACATAGAATTGATGGTATGTAAGGGATACTTACTATTTGTGTCATCTTCTAACACTGGAAAAAGAATTGAATGTGAGCAGAATAACCTGTGCAGGTCACCAGTGGAGGTGTTGTACAATGCTAAACATTTGGGGGTTTTTTGGAGTTCAAATAAAAATTAATTTATGAGTGTTTGTTTTGTAGCTTCTTATTCATCTTTTCTCTCTTTTGATGATATTTTTCTTTGATATTAAGGCTTTCCTGAAAAGACTGGAAGCAGTGAAACCAACACCTGGTATGAGGCGTTCTGAGCAATTGATGGACTATCAGCGCCAGATGAGTTATCTAAGTTCTTTGCCATCTGTAAGAAGAGGAAAATCTGCTTTCAGCCAGCTTAGTCCTTCCAGTAAGCACTTTGAAGTTGCAGATTCTTTGCATGTGTTTATCTTTCTGTAATTCAAAATTGTGAAGTACTTACTGCTAAGAATAACAGATAAGTTCCTTTCTCTGTCTTCCTTAGATTGATCATTTATCACACAGAAATCATTAAAGTGTTTTTTTTAATCATACCAAAAGGATGATGCCCATATGAATTGTTTACTTACCACCCTAAATTTCTAATAAATTATCTTGTTAATCATCTTTTCCAATAAGGTCAAAAAATTACTGTTGTAAAGTATTTCTCATTTTGCCAGTACCCTTTATTGAAAGGAGAAGAGAAGGAGAAAAAAAAAACAAAAGAAAAAAAAAACTAACACAAAACCCCCAGAGAAATTTCAAACTCTCGTTCAGAAAATGTAAATCTGCTGATAGTAGCTTTATTCCTTTTGGAAATTGTGCGTGTAGCACTTGGAAGTAGATCAGGTGTCCCCATAGATCCATACATGTTGGCTTAAATAACCACAGCACTGCGGCATAGGCTTGAATTCTTTGTCCTGACCATTTACAAACAACTCATAACATTTTGGGTTTGTATTCAACTTACGGTGATTTGGTTTTTTTTCTGGAAACTATGCTAATGAGTGTTGCAGTACTTAATATAGCATGAAGTTTTCTGTTGTACTGAGCATAAGCATTCTCACTCTTTTTTTTTTGTGTGTGTTGTGTGTTAACAGGAAGCACTTCAACAGCATCCGCCGTATCAAGTACAATGAGCCAGAGGAATGAAAAACCCGTGTCCGCTTCAGCCAGTGGGGCATTGCAGAGACCTAAACCCACTAACGTTCGTGCTGCGTGGTTATAAGTGCATTCTTTGCCTCACATTCTGAGGTGATCCTCAGACTTCTGTTTTTAGTGCTTTTGCAAATTCTGTGTGCAAAAATATTTTCTGCATTGTTCAGTAATTAAAATGCATAGCATATGATATAATTGCTTATAAAATGTTTTGGGGTGAATGGTTTGCTTTCACTTCAGTCAGTGTTTTCCATGATAGGAAGAACTTATGAAAGAGAAGGAGATATCTAAATGGACAAGTTAAATAGAAATTGCTAATTATTATTTTATTCTCAAATCATAAGTGGAATTTGTATCCATAACATGGAAGGAGAGAATTACTGCACTACAGGCAGATGATGTAAAGAAAATCTTTAAAATAGTATTTTAAAATATTGCATTAAAATCATAAACATATGCTTAATTCCTAGATCATCTTTGCTTTTCATCCTGGCTTTAGGTAAGCCTTCTGAACTTTGTGGGTCATGTTCTTATGACTGAAAGAATCTTCTTTTTGCAGCAGCATGAGGGAGTGAAAAGCAGATTGTGTGTTCCTGCATGGTTAGCTAGAATATTGAGGCTGCGGAGAGGTTATTCTACCACTCTTGCAGTGCAGGTGTTGAACGATTGTTTTGTACTCAAGGCTGTGTCTCTTCCAGATGTAAAAGAATTTTGGAAGTTGTATTGGGACCTTTGTGTAGGAAAGAAGCATCTGATGCTACTTGAACAAGAGCAGAGACTGAAGCGCACAACGGTTTCAGATTCACTCTAAACAAGAGTGAGTTGTAGTTACCTCTCAAGCTAGAGAATACTAAGCAAGGGAAATATTTCATGGCCCTGCTTTTGCAGATCCTTGCCCTTCTCAGTGGGGAGATACAAACACGAGCTGCAGGAAACTTGATTTTGAGAGTGACTACTAACCATGATTTTGAAAAAAAAAAAAAAAGACAGTAGAAAACAGAAGATCTTGTTATGTTTCTAAACCTGTTTTTTAATGTCACGTTCATACCAAATATTTGTAGTAGTGTCAGATAAGCTTCAGTAGCAACATCCATTTACAAGGGGAACAAAATTTAATGGAATTAGTAATTGCAAATAGTAGGTGGTATGCTTTATTTCTATACATAAAGGCAAACTTTCAGTGAGCTTATTTTGTAGGATTGTAGTCTTATAAAGAGCATAAATTGTTATGCCACTGTCCATGGATATTGCAGGAACCCTGCTTGCTTCCCCAGCTTCTTCCCAGGAGAGATACAGGAGATCTCTTTGTATTATGCACAAAGAAAAAAAGCTGTATTCAGTAATGCTGGGTCTTACCCCTATGAAAAGGAAAAGTGTCTTATTTTTTGCTTGTGCTTGCATGAGGCCTTAGGCTTTCAGGTATTCTGCATTGTAACAAACTTTTTACTTGGTCCTGTGTGATAGTTTGGCAGAGCTTCTGCACCTGGTGACCTGCGGATGAAATTTAGCTGTTTGACAATATTTGAACTTAAAGCAGCATTGTCGCAAACAGATTTTTATTGCAGTTATTCATTGATAGGGACAATAAGGAATTTTTTGCATAGTGCTGCTGTATTTATTTGTACTATTGTGCTAATTAAAATTATTCACTATTTAAAGATTTTTGTCCTTGAATGTGAATATCAGGGTCATGGTTTACTTTTGAATGTTCATATGATAATTTTTTTTCTGTGAAGGAATTCACAAAATCAATTACTTTTAATCTCTTCATCTTACTTTATTTAACTTTGGTATGGAAGACTGTCAATTTTGTATGTCATTTTTGTAAATCATAAGAAATTAAATATTTAACATTAGTTGTCATTGAAGTGGCTTCTTTCTGATTTTCAGAATTGGTAATAACATGTAAAGGAAGTCATGAGAGAAGTGTTTGGTGCTACCTGAAGTGGAGGAAAATGCAAAGAATCAGTTTGTTCATTCATACTCTTTATCCGTTAGTGACTTTGTGGGCTTTTCAAAATAAGCCGTACTGACAAGCCTTCATTAAGTCAGATAATCTCATCAGGATTTTTATAGCAAAAAATCCTGTTTCTGTTAGGCTTTTTTCCTGTCTTTTTTGTAAGCTGCCACTTTGTTCTTATCTACTCCCTCCCCCCACCACCCTGAAAACCTCTTTGAAAGAAAAGTGCAAGCTGCTTTGCTTCCTCTTCAAAGCGAACTGCCACACTGGTTTGCCACACGGTTTCAGGTAGGAGCCGGTCTCCCTGCCGAAGTGACAGGATTGCCGGTTTGGGTGCTGGCACTGGCGTGTTGATCTCACTGCTAGGAGAAATGGGCTGCGGTGCCTGTCATGTGTTTGCTCTGGAAGTGTCCCTGCCTCATCGTGGGCCGTGTTTCTTGCAGGACAGGGTTCTGCTGTGTCGTCTTTCTACCATACCAAAGGTCTTGCAGAAGGCCCTAGTTAGATCATGGACTATGTGAGAAGAAGAGACAGTGATGATCCCCCCGACATGTGAAGAGCATTGTCCCAAGCAGACTGCTGAATTCTTTAGAGCTCAGCAAACCTAAGAGACCCAAGCTAATTTGGAAGAATCACACAAGGCCGTTCCTTACATGGAATGTATAAGCTTTTCCCTGTGCCAGAGCCTGTCTTCTATCAGATTGCTTACAGTCTTTACTGAAGATTGTGAGGCATCTCTGCTGTCGTCCTGCCACTCAGATAAAGCTTTATCTGACTAAATCAAATGGCTGGCTGGATTTATATGTCTTCCATGACATATATACATTGGACTATATTTTCCCGATTGTCATCTAATGAGTTTAGGATAAACCCCTGTAAAAAGCCCAAGAGGCTTTGTTCTAACAGATCACCAGTAACATTTTTATCCCAGTGCTTTTCCTTGTTTTCCATGGTCAATAGACAAAAAATAATTTCCTGCCTTCCCAACCTGGGCAGCTTTGTGTAGTCATCTGGCAGATGAGAGCTTGTGGTTTTCCCTGGAGCACAGCCTGCACATCAGTGTGATGGAGATGAGGGCAGTGACTTACATCAAGCCTTCTGGCTGTGCAGTCATGGCCATCATATGCAGGTGATGACACAGTGATGTGTCAACAAGCCAAATGGTGAGGGAGAAGAAAAGGCTCCTTTGGCACCAAAGTGGTCTGTCTTATGAACCCAGTACACTGAGTACCTCTTTGTGGTGTTTACCTGCTCAAAGTCTTGAGCAAAATAGTGGATGAACCATGTCATTGTCACCTGATGAATGAGGAAATACAGAAATAGAGCTGCACGTGGAGCCATCTTCCAGGACTGAAATTATGTTGAGGTCATCTTGTTTCAGATATTGGCAGGGATTGCTAATGCTTGAGATACAGACCTGGTTTGTCTTCAGGATGCATGGTTCTAATGCCTTGGTCAAGAAAGCTGCCATATGTCTCCTGGTAATTCTCCTAGCCAAGATGAGACAGCATTTGGCAACAACGATCCTTGTAGCTGTCACTTCTGGTTCCAGGACCACCTGCGTTATTCACTACAGAGCTCCATGACTCTTGTTCTGGGCTCTGATTGTGTACAAAAATCACAGTTCTCTCCACCATGTTATATGTAGTCAGAGCTCAGAACAAAAACGACAGGTCTCAGTTCTCTCCACACAGTGGCTCTTGGGACTAGAACAAGCTATCGAGAGATTTTTCTGGTTTAAAGTGAGAGGGGCTTCACAAGGGGCACACAGGTGGCTGAGATTTGCCACCTGGGGCATGGTGCTTATTTTCCTTACATGCTTGGTTGGGTAGTGGGACTCTGTCTCCAGCTGAGATGATCCAATGACCATAACTGGGGCAGAACTGAATGTTCTTCTGTTTTTCTAACAACTTGGCAAGGCTTTTTCCTTCTGCTAGGCTTCTCACCATGTCTTAAACTTTTCCCTATGGCTTTTAAAGAAGTGATGGCTGCTTCTTCCATGACAGGCATAGGGCAGAGAGTGGAGGTTATCACCTTCAGAAAGGTAGGGAAGGTTCAGTCTGCTGTCATAGATTGTCCCCCTCCACTCTTTGCAGTAGCCTGTGTTCTTTAGAGACAGGTTTATCTTTCAAACTCAACGGAAGTTCCTCACTTCATCTCATCCAAAAGATTGGTGTACCTCAGTTCCCTCCCCAGGTAGTGTCCTTTCAGAGCCAGGCAGTACAGTGTATGCTGCATGGTAGGTGGGCTTTGTCTTTCTGTATTAGTAGGATATATTACTAGGCTACTCAGGGCAGGTTTCCCAGAGTTGAAGTGTGAGATATAAGGGTAGAATGGTTTTGATGCAGGCTTCTGCCTGCATAGTTTGTCTGTGACGAGCTCCTTCAAAGGTACAAAAGGATGGGGCAGTGGTATCAATTCGCTGTCACAACCAAGGTTCATTTGACTGGAGTTCAAGCAGCAATGGGAGACTATGCACAAAGTCATCTGTTTTCCAGCTTTGCAGAGCTGATGGCTGGATTTTAGGTTACACTTCCAGCAAGCATTACTCTGAGCGCCACAGACTCAGTGCAGAGCTGCTTTCCGGTGCATGGTTATTTCATTGACAGTTTCAAACTCTTACTCCAAGGATCTTTACAGAGGCTACCGCCTGGAACCTGCCACAGGTGTGCATGTGCAGAAGCATGCAAGCAGAAATAAGGAGCTGTTTACCTGTTTTCCATACATTTCAGGTAACGTCTCTTCTCCCTGTGGAATTTTTCTGCATTGATATTCCTCATTCTCCTTTTTAATAGCCTTTAGTCCTCCTTTGCCTTTTTTTTTCTGGAATATAGTAACTTCTTTCATTTACCTTCATCTGAAGTTTCTTTTGCATCCTCTTAAATTTGTTTCTGCTTGTGCACACGTACGCTTCCCCCCAAGGTGTGATACCTCCGTGTATTACAATCTGGCATTGTCTCCGGTATCTTTGTAGCCAACTCAGATCTCCTCTAAAACACCCAAATGCCATATGCAACCTTGTCAGGGAGATAAATGTGAAATCAACAGTTGCACTGCGTTAGCAGGCTTCTCATAAGGAACCGTTAAGAAGGTGTGGAGGAAGGAGAACAGGAAAAGAAGCAGGCAGATAAAGCTTTTACCTAAGACTACTGCAATAAGCACTCTGGAAAAGAGTAGCAAGATTTTTCTTTACAGACTTAATGGTTCAACAGGTTGCAAACTTATTTATTTACTACTGGGAAAAAAAAACAGGCCAGGTATCTAGAAAAGTGTCTAAGATAGTGACCATGAAAGAAGGGAGATGAACCAATCAGGCCAGGTTGAGATACTATCTTCATGAGACAAAAAACAAATTTAGGTAATTTAAAAATCGATGGTTATTTTTGGACCAATTTTTTTCCCCAAATGCTTCAGTTCTTCAGGTGGATAGTTGTTGCTTCCAAATACTGTTGTGGTAGCTTGTACCTGCCTTTAGGGAGAACAGAGCTGCTGGTCTCAAGCTGTAGCAGACACACACAGCCCATCTCACTAAGTGACAGAGAGCTAGGACTATCCGCATCTGACAATAAATTAATCTCAAATATAGGAAAAGGGTAACTGGAAGCCAAAGCACAGAACTTAAAACTGATCAAAATGTGACTCTCTTAGCTCTCCATTTACTGCTACTCACAAAAATGGTTAATCAGGAGATCTTATCTGCATACTCAAATATGAAAATCATAGCATAAGCATCCACGAGAGTAACTGGACAGCTCTGTGACAGACATGTGCAATGTTAACCAGGGCAGTGTCCACAAATACATTCATTTTGGGAAACTTGTTCCACTTATGCTCCAGAGTAATCTATTCTCCCAGAGCAGATGATAATACTCTTTGGAGTGGCTTGCTTTTGTGTACTGAATCACTCCAGCATGCACAGCAGCAGTGCTGTGAGACCAGGTGTCAGGGAAAGACAGCTTACAGCAGTGACAGTACCATCAAGAATGTCCCCTCTCAGGCAGTGATAACCCCTTCACTAGAGCAATACTGTCCACTCATCAGTTCTAGCTCAGACATCATCTACTCCGCAGTTTATATTCAATGTGGAAATTGCCAGCTGTGTAACTAGTCAGCCTTTTACCTTCAAGTACAGCTAGTGCAATTCCAACATTTATGTTTCCACAGGGTTTTTTTTACCCAAGGCACTAGAAATGACAGGCATTCCAGAATTTTTATCAGAAATCCACAAGGGCACATTACTTCTACATATGTAGTAAAAGATGCAGCTGAAATAAAAGCATACTTGAGTATTATTTGCTTAATCTTACTCATTTTCCCAGGTGGATACATAACAAACATTTGTTTATATGTAGTCCAACTGAACCAGTGAAATGGACACAACTCCCTTTCCCTCCCTTGCTTAATTAGAGAGCTTACTCTTCAATGAGTTCACAACCATGCAGCATCTGAAGTTTAAAAGCTCTGTACTGAGCATGTTATGATCTCACTGGTAATTAATAGCTCAAGTTGTTAATGATAGTGTAGTTGCAAGTACAGTTATTAAAATAACTCAGAACTATTCCATTCTAGAATACTTTTTCAAGGAAAACAAGCAGCAATGACTTCTCTATCAAATGAAAACACACTTACCTCAGTTAGGTTAATATAAATGAATTATCACAGCAGCTAAGACTGTATGGTAGTTTATCTGCAAGACAACTGGTTGCAGCACCCTCAAGCTGAATCCACTTGGTTTTGCTATTGCAGAATTATCAATCATTCCACCTACCCAAAGCTCTGCTGAAAAACTTCAGAGGCTTAGGCAGTATCAGACAGCCACTAATAGTGTGCTGATTAGCACATCACTTTAAAGGACATGTAATGTGTTCAGTGTACTGAAAAGAGGAAGAGGGTCATTAATATATTAATTTATTTCATGACTTCAGTTTTAGTTCAATTGAACATCAGAACAGACAACTTTTTGCTTTGTGAAAATACAGGGAATTTTTGAATGCTATTTCCATATCCTACAAAGTACATTTGAAAAATCAGATTATGGTTTCAACCATGTGATTGTGTAATTTGCTAGTGAAGAGGCTGAAGTTAGGAACTCAGCCTGGTGCTTTCATATAGTTTATGTTTTCAGACGTGCTTTTCACTTGTCATATTAAAAAAATACAGCTTTTGAAGAAAACATTTTAATTCATTATAAATATGCTGTTGGGTAGCTAGAGACATCACTTGCTCACAATACTGGATTTTAAACTAGGTATAGACTACCCAAGTCTTGTCTCTAGACAAAATGTATTACCTGAAATTTGAAGTATAATATATACACAAGTTCCAATACAAATGTTGGAGGAATTTTCATACAAAATGTAACTGTGATGTTATGAACAATTTTTAAATTAATGCATCCTCATCTCAACCAGGTATGCGACTCAAATTTTATTCTGTTTCCCTAGGAAATATTTTGTTGTCCATTACATCACGAAAGCATATTTTTTAATAAGTTGATTGAGAACAATTGAACTACATTACTATGTTGTTTTAGACGTATTTCTTAATTTCATCATAAAGTACTAATACAAAAGCTCCGCCCATGCCTCTCAACACATTCGACCAGGCACCTTTGAAGAAAGCTTTGGATCCTTCATCTTTAGCTATCTTCTTCCAGCAATCAATTGTGCCCTTGTACATAATATCCGCTGTGGAAACAGACATAAAGGTCAGAAGGCTTGAAGTTACACAGCAAGTCTGTTTCAACTTTCACATGTTTAGAACAAGGAGTAAGCAAACTATAGGCAAGAATTTAAAATTAAGTAATCAATTTCTGAAGACAAATTTTAATTCTCCACATGGAAATCAAACCAAATCAACTCTCAGCCTCTTAAGTGAACATGACAGAAACAACCAGCAATGCATTTCCCATTGCCTTTTTTTTTTTCGTGATTCCAATGAGAAGGTCATTAGTTTTCCACGAGACAAAAAATACCCAGCATCTCCCATCATATCTCAATGTAACAGATACTTTCTGCTACCAGAACACCATAGGAGCACTTATTCTTACCTCCCTTTCGCCCAGACTGCATCATCATCCTACGTCGCACGGTATCAAAAGGGTAAGAAACCAGCCCTGCTACTGCAGTGACAGTCTGGGCAATCATCCAGCTCACTACGATATGCACATTCTTTGGATCAGGCAACATACCTGCCACCAGGAACAAATGAGCAGAGTCAGTACAGAGGCAAAGGGCTGGGGGAAAGACTGCTGTGGAAGGAACAGTCACCCACCCTCCCCCCCCAGGAGTCACTCAGTCAAGCCTGCAACTTCGCCCTCCATCCATATCTGACTAGTAACAGGTACTATGAGTGAAACAAGTTAATAGGACTGTTGGATTTGGGGATCTAAGCCCTCTTCGTGCTCCCTGACCCAAAGGTCTCTCCTGCAGAACCCTCCCAGGCTTGCATCACAAGCTGCCACACAAGCCCATCTGCACAAGCCTTAAGACAAAGGAAGAAACTGGAAAGTGTCTGAAAAGACACTGC